ATCGTCTAGAATCTTATTGTTAAATTTAACACAAGAATTGACGTGAGCCTTATTAGGTTCTGTGGTTAATGAATCGATTGGGATTATTGGTGCGCGACTGATTACTGTCTTGTTTTTAAAGACCGGAAAACTTCAGGTGAGCAATGGAGTAGAATGGGGAAAACATAGTGAACGAAAGAGGATAGGAATGACTGTGGGGTCGGGAATAACTTGAGTTTGAAAAGAGAGGCGTCTCGCTTTTCCCAAACCATTGTAAATGTGTGTGGATCGCCGCAGATGGACAGATGCCAAGGGAGTAAGTAGAACGGGGTAAAAATACATGGAATAACGATGAGCGACAAGTTGTGAGCACCTTGCTGCGGTCTCGCTCAGTTCCACGTCAGTCTCATTTGGGCTTTATGCTGTTCGTTATTCCAAGTCACAGGGCTTAAGATACGAGTTATGTGCGATTAGTAGGCGGTCTAGACTATGAGCTTTTTTCCAAATGCGCGTTTACTCCATTCAGCTCATTTCACCCTCCGACTCATTCCGTCCGCTGCAACGCGCAATTAATTAAAGATCGAGTCGTGAAATGTGCATATTCAGTAGCCAACGTTGGTTTGTACACCCCTGATATTTGAATATAGGAGTTTGGTAATGAATTTGTCCATTTGTGGCCGGGCCACAGCAAACACATAATGTTGATCAAATTGTTTCGCATAGAAAGTGATGACTCCACGTTTGACGATGGGTAACGCGATGAGGGAATCTCGTCTCTCCATCGGGTAGCGGCACTTTGAACCATTGGGTCAGGTACAGTATAGAACCGGTTGCTGTGTTTAGAAACCGTCGAAGTCGGGTTTCTTCCAATTACCAGGATTGCTTCCTTGAATATGCATGCTATCAGTAAATGTGTAGTGACATTCGTTAAGTCAAAAGATAGTCTGTTCTGTCAACGTGCGTGCGCGTGTGTCACTACAACTGCAGGCGAGAACTGGTAATTGGGGGGTATTCGAGACATTGAATGCAATGAGACTGTTCGAGTGGTGTTTGAAGCTGAAGCTTTTGGCATTTTGCAGCGTATGATACTTCGCTGCCATGTGCGTGCTATTCAGTTCAATTTACGTTTTATTTCGTTCAATAAGTGATCACATATGGATGGTTATAATTATCATAATTTGCTTGTTCGCGGTGGTTATTAGGTCAGATTTTTTCCTTGGCCTACGATGGTGTTTGCCAGCAACGTTTGTCCTATAAATTCTTCATTGTTTAGTCGTTGGTCTTAGCCTTTGTTTGTAGATCATCGGAGTAAAAATCGTGATATTATATGCATAATGAGTAATACAGTCATTCTCTTGCTATGTTGCACCCCTGGTAAATTCGAAAAAGTGGATAAATTCCGGGAACTGCGACGTGGCAGGGTAAACAGTAGTAGATGCTAATAAGTAGTATAAAGATCGGTTGACAGTTCTGTGACAAAATAAACTAGATCGATGAAAAGCAGATTTATACCGTTAGTTGTCCCCAATGTTTATAATTATAAACTTTTTATTTATAACAGAATTTAGATCTACCGTCCTGTTTATTATTTATGCATCGAAGAAATTTAAACCTTTTATATCGCCCTCAGCTTACCATCGGTACATTGCATGTGTTATTCAGCCCCTTTTCAGTTCTAAGTGTCTAGTTATCCCCAAACTACCTACCTTTCTTCAAGGGAATTTTTTTCTGACCCAGTTATCCCATATTAATTTCAGATATTCCTCCATTCCGTTGCAATCTTAGTTTAACCACGGATTATATGACGTCCACCATAATATACATCTGTTTTAGCTATAATAATCACATCAGTGTTAACCCATTCAAGGAAAACAAAGGTGAACCAGTTCGGATATAGTGAGAAGGAAATAACATCTCAAATGAGGGATATATCTGTTACGGGGTATACTCAGAACATTGACTTCTTTCCCATATCCAAACTGGTTGTTCATTGTGCAATTTATTCATGATTTTCTAGTGAAAATGTGTACCATCAGCTTCTGTAGACGTTTATTCGTTCGGTCGCTTCTGTTGTTACCAGCGTATGTTCAAACTGATTGATACATTCAGCATGACCGTTGTTGGTCGGAACACGCGATGACATAACGTGATTCATAAACCATACCTTTTTCAATTTAAGATGTCCGAGTATCAACTTAAGACGTCATGTTGCTATGTGGATAGTCCGATTACACCATCGTTTCACATTGTCTTGCACTTTTGTGATCTTGTTGTCATGCCTAGTCCATCCGTGTGGTGAAGGCACACCTGCTGTACAGCCGACGTTCACTGCGTCTTCTGAAGACTCGCTGTCGTACAAGGTGTCGTTTCTCGCTCGGGTTAGGTGGGAAAGCGCCAGATCTCTTCTTGCCGCTGTTTGTGTGAGTTTCGGGCAGGCATAGAAGGAGGATAGGCTCTGAATCCGATGCTGCTCAAGTGTTGGTAGACAATCACCACAGGAGAATCAGTAGTGGAACGATGCGACATGTGGGAGACAGAATGAAAAAGTTCAAGCGATGATAATACTGGACCAATATTTAACTCATCTGGGATACACGCACTATTTTTTATGCGGGTTCTCGCGCAAATTTCCCGGCAGGCGTGAGATGGACGAAATTCGCTCCTGTTCAACCAACCGAAGGCTATAGACGCCAACCTACAGAAATTACGGCAATTCTCAAACAAATGCGAAACTCTCGAGCAATTAACGATTCATAAATTAAAAGTGCATCTTACAAACTGTCCTTTGATCCGGGTTACCATAACCTTTGGCAAGTGATTTGTCTAATTTCATCGGTGCCCTAGAAAGGACAAGTGTGAGTGTAGTTCATTCATTCACGCAGCCGCGTTCGCATGACGGTGTTTATCCATCGCTCTGATCTGATTCTCACTCCACTGACCCAATAACCAATCAGTTACGATTACCGTTCACCCGTTTGCACATCAGTGCGACGGAGCCCACCGATAGACCGAATGACCGTGGCTTTGGTGACCACTAGTAAAAATGACCACATTCGAGTGCTCCACAGTTCACTTCAGTGCCCCACAGAACTGCAAAATAACTTTGCAGATTACAAAGATGTATTTTCAGCAAAATCATAAATCGTCGTTTGTCTCAGCTTGGCTCTGTTGGAAATCGACAAACGCACTGTTTAAATCAATTGTACACTCCAATAATCAACCCGAACACTGAGCAACAGCCAAGACAAACAGCTTAAATTGGCACAATAACTTCTGCGCCTCTCTGATTGAGATAACTTCCGGCGCATTCACTGCCTCACATTTGTCTTCTTCTTTGGACTGTTTAGCTTGATTTGAAATGAATTCATCTAACGACTAAAAAGAGACTCGATACAAAAATTTTAAATAACTCACTTCTTCATCATCCAAATCCAAACAGGCGATTTCTTCTTCAGAAATACGGTCATCAATAGAAACAATGAATAAAGTCCTCGATCAAATCACATTTATCCTCTGGTGACTTCATTATCTGCTGAATCAATGTGGATTTGAAACCAGCTTTCATGAAAGCGTTGATCAGTACGTGCGGATGCACGACACCCAAACTTTCTTGATCAGATGCATGCCAACGAGGATGTCCGACTCGGGTTTCATGATAAGTTTCTCAGCTTCGATCAAAGACAAAACATATTCCAGTAAATGTTTCCGAAACGAACATTTGAAAGACCAAATCACCCCTGATCCATTGGTTGTAACACTAAAGAACGGTTCAGAGGCAGCCGTACCAATTTGACATTGGAGAACACTGTGGCATGGTTATGTCAAGGGGCATTGTAAATAACTGACAAAATAGAACTCCTTTGAGAAACCGTTTTGCGGTTGACATCGGACAGCCAACTGTGAAATAACGCAGAAGTCATCCATGCGTTCTTTGATGAAGGCTTTTTCTATCTATACCTCGGAGGCATCTTGGAGTTTAAAACTTTCCAGTCACCAACAGTGGTAAATTTTCTCCAGTCATGTTCCCACAAAGCAGTAACGTGACCCTCTCTTTGGATTTCTTGGACCCAGAAACTGTCTTTCCTTTTAGACTTAATCTTCTTTCTGGGATCTGCCTGTAATACAAAGCTGCTTCATCTACATTGAGAATATCTCAGTCAGCATATCCATGCATCAACTGTGGTAACCCCGCTCGAAACTCGCCTACTGCCTCACGTGGTACCGCTAAACGTTCCCCACAAACCTATAAAGTTCCTTGTTTCTTTGTACGATTGAATACCATATCTGT